GTTTCTCCTGTCTTACGTCCATCCATCCTTCCTGCCTTCCTTCCTTCCTTCCTTCCTTCCTTCCTTCCTTCCTTCAGCAAAGTATTGGCAAGGAAGAGACAATCCAGAGCAACCAGTGGGTGCTGTTGGAATGCAATTCTCATTATCCAGCACTATTGGCCTTATTTCTAGCTTATACAGGACAAAACCATTTTGTTGTTATTTTTAGGTACCATCAGGTTACTTCCGACTTATGGCAAACCTATGAATCCGTGGCCTCCAAAAGGTTCTGTCATCAACAGCTATGCTCAGCTCGCGCAAACTCAGTGCTCTGTCTTCCTTTACTTTTAATTCATACCCACCCACCTCCAAGTTGCAAGTACAGTGGTGCCTCGCTAGACAGTTACCCCGCATGACAGTTTTTTTGCTAAACATTGACTTTTTGCGATCGTTATAGCAATTCGTAAAACAGTGATTCCTATGGGGGAATTTTGCTGGACAATGTTTGGTCCCTGCTTCGCAAGGGACCAACAATTGTTGCTAGACAACAATTTTGACAGCTCCCTCCGTGCTCCCAAAACGGGTGTTTTCGGGACCTAAGCTTCGCAAGACAGCTATTTAAACAGCTGATTGGCAGGTCGCAATGCAGCTTTCCTATGGCCGATCTTCACTAGACAACAACGATTCTTCCCCATTGGAACGCATTAAACAGGTTTCAATGCATTCCAATGGGAAAATGTTTTTCACTAGACATTGATTTCGCTAAACAGCGATTTCAGTGGAACAGATTATCATCATATAGGCACCACTGTAGAGTGAATTTGATTAACCATGAGCTTTTTAAAAATGAGTTACATGTATGGTGCAACTCTTTATCCAGAAAGCAATCTGAATATCTTTGGCTTTCCTCTTCTCTGATTTCCACAGGGACAGTATTGCAGTATAGAACTGAAACACTTAGCCTAGAATCAACAGACATTTTAAAAGAGTGGTAAAGGTCAGCAAGATAAGTTAGTTATGTTTTAATCATGCCTGGAACACTTTTTTGTTTGTTTGTTTTTGGCAAGCGCTGTATGTTATTTTCTTGGCGGGTTCATCTATTGCCAGGCTCAGTTACTGTATTCAGATACTACTAAAACTGAGTATGTTTCTTTATGTCCTGTTATTTGGTGCCAGGCTACTGCCCCTGGAAGGCTCCGTGTCACTTTTTGTGCCTTTGTAGAGAAAGAAATATTTACAAAATACTGGTTAGGAAATGGATGTGTACTGGGTTCAGCAAATTCATTAAAAGGTGAACTCTGTTGTTTAATTAAACTGAGTTGCTTATTGGAAGCCTCTGAAAGTGTGGGAAACATGCAATGTGGCCAACTCCCTCTCCCCTGTAGGGCCTTGTGCCTCTCTATTATTCTCTTCAAGCATTTGGGATGGGATGATAATCCAAGTTTGGTGTATAGGATCTGGTCTGTAAGATCTTCAGCTTGACAACTGCACTTCTAACAAAATTCATAGGCTCCTCCCCCAACCCAAAATAAAGAGGAATGCTAGAAAATATGCCAAACATATACCAGTCACATGTTTGAAAGCTTTCCTCACCTTGTTTCAATTTGCTATTCAGGCTCAGATTCCCCCCTCCCCTCTCTAAAGTATGTCATGCATGCCATGATAACTCCCAGTGTCAGCATAAGGGTTAACTAAACAGGAACAGAAATCCAGGCTACACTGCAATTCAGTTTTGTTCTGCAGTAGAGAGGCTGAATCCAGGGGCTGTTTAGCTCGCTGTTTGGAGTGCTGCAGGAATGGAGTGGTGTGTTCTTAAAACCGCAAAGAGATGTCTTTGCTCGAGGGCATAGCCCACCCCTAGAGCATTCTTTGTTGTTTAGTCCTGTCCATGACTCTTTGTGACCCCATGGACCAGAGCACGCCAGGCCCTCCTGTCTTCCACGGCCTCCCGGAGTTGTGTCAAATTCATGTTGGTAGCTTCGGATGAGACTGTCCAACCATCTCGTCCTCTGTCATCCCCTTCTCCTCTTGCCTTCACACTTTCCCAACATCAGGGCATTTTCCAGGGAATCTTCTCTTCTCATGAGATGGCCGAAGTACTGGAGCCTCAGCTTCACGATCTGTCCTTCCAGTGAGCACTTGGGGTTAATTTCCTTCAGAATGGATACGTTTGTTCTCCTTGCAGTCCAGGGGACTCTGAAGAGCCTCCTCCAGCACCACAATTCAAAATGCCTACCCCTTTCTGGTCCGTGTCAAGGGTCTTCTACTTTTCTAGCGTGAGTACAATTTGCTTTGGTTGGGATCAGTTTCTGCTTGTGTGGTTGCTAGAACTTATCCAAAGTAAGTCTTTCTCTTTGAATTTGCCAGTATTACAAATTGGTTTAATAAGCAAGGCAATTACGGATATTGGCAAATCAATCACTTCCGCTGCTTGGCAGAAGACAGGGGAAGTGGGATATTTATTTATTTATTTATTTATTTATTTATTTATTTATTTATTTACTTATTTATTTATTTATTTATTTATTTATTTATTTATTTATTTATTTAT